ACAAATATAGATCTCTTCCAATTGGTTGGCCAGGTAGCTGTCTTCCAGATTTCTTGGCATAGACTAGTGAACACCTCCCACTCTATATCAGTTGAAACACTTTCATTTATATTCTGTCAGTTACTGGAGCCTTGCTTTTCACCAATGCCTTCAGTGCTTCTTGGACTTCTTCCTTCAATATCATCGGTTCTTGATCATATGCTACCACTTCAAATAGTAGAGCATCAACCAATTCTTTTTGGTACAGTAACTCTGTGTATTTCTTTCATCTTATTTTGACTTCTTCATTATTTAATATTTTACTCATAGAGTCCCTCAATATCATAAGTCAAGGCTTGAATTTTTTTACAGTTCTTTCAACTTGACAAATGCTGAGCATATTATTTCCTTTTGGTTTTCTAGGTCTTTGCACATTTCATTATAAGACTTGACTTTGTCTTGCTGAGCTACCCTTTGAAATTTTCTGTTCAGCTCTTTTGCTTCATAATTTCTTCTACTTACTTTAGCTTGTATACAATCAAAAGCAAATTTTTAAGAGTCTCTTTTGATGTCCATTTTGGTCTTTTCTTTCTAATTAATGACCTTTTGCTTTCTTCAAATATGATGTTCCTAATATCCCACAACTCTTCTGGCTTTTAGTCATTGATGCATCAAATCTGTTCTTGAAATGGTCACTAAATTCAAATAGCATATATTCAAGGTCACATTTTGGCTCTTATGGACTTTAATTTTTCTTAGCTCCAGTCTGAACATGCGTATGAACAATTGATTGTCTATTCCACAGTCAACCCGTGACCTTATTTTGGCTGAGGTATAGGTGAAAGCAAAGCTAAATTTATAGAGGGCTTCAAAAACTGAGAAAATCCATGATCTTTTCATTCAATTTTTCCATGAACTTTTTGAAGCTCTTGTATAATATTAGCATCTCCTTAGAGCCTCATTAAAAAAAAAATGCTGTGTATAAATGTACATCATTTGTATAATTATAAAGGCTACTAACTAAGCACAAAAGTCTCTAGATATACATACATAGCCTTAGAATTCAGGGTTTTGTAAAGTGCATGAGAAAAGTTTATAATACTTGGAAATTACTTACCCTTTTTCACAGTTCTTCCCAGTGTTATTGATCATATCCAAAAATGTGCATAGTTATTATAGAAAGAAGTATGCAGAACATAGGAGGATTTTTATGAATCAGTCATCAGTATTGGTGTTTACATTCCTGTTTCTTCTGATTATTTTTATTTTATCCTTTCACTCCCTAGCCATAGCCCTGGTTCATGCCTCAATTACTTTCTGCATAGTTTGCAGTAATCATCTGTTTTATCCTGACACTAGCCTTACCTTCCTTTTATTCGCTGGTGTTTCCTTCTAACAGTATTGTTTTATGTTATTCCCCTACTGAGAAGTATATAAACCCAACCCACTGCTGTTAAATCAGTTCCAACCCTACAGGACAAAGTCAAGCTGTTCCTTAGCGTCTCTGAGACTGTCAGTCTTTATAGGAGCAGACAACCTCATCTTTTCTCTTGGAGTGACTGGTATGTTTGAATCCCCAACACTTAACACTTAACCCACTGCACTACCAGGGCTCCTTTTGGAAGTATATTTTTGTTGTTAAGTGCCGTTGAGTTGGTTTTGACTCATAGTGATCCTGTATAAGGTTTCCAAGGAGCACCTGCTGGGTTTGAAATGCCAACCTTGTGGTCCTACATTGCCACACCTGAGGTCAAATCCAAACTGATAATTAGAAGTTTCAAGTGGTTCGTATTAATTTAGTTGTGCATTTCCAGTTGCCTTGAATACTCTTTGGAACCACATATACCTACCTATATGATAAAGAATCCTAAGGTGTAGTACAAATTGTTAACCCATTCAGCTGCTAACTGAAAAATTGAAAGTTCCATTCTACCCAGGAGTGCCTTGGAAGAAAGGCCTGGTGTTATATTTCTGGAAAATGAGCCATTGAAAATGCTATGGATCATAGTTCTCCTTTAACACACTTGGGTTGCCATGACTTGGATTTGATTCTATGATATCTGGTCTGCTTGTGGTAAATACACCTGCTTTTGGCCATCTAAGGCACAGCATTAAGGCACAGCAGCTAGTTTCTTCACCTGGAGCAACAAAGAAAGAATCATTAGAAATAGAAATATATGGAATGTGTGGGTAATTGCCTTCATGCAATCAGACTTCATTGCCTAGCTAGCATTATTGAACATTTGGTACAATCTTTGAATCTTAAAGATATTCCCCGAAGTCTTCTTAAAACCAAACAGTAGTTTAGCTTACTTAACTAGTAAAGAATGTTTGCCTGGAACATTAATGCTCTTTTAAGATCTTGTTTGATAACAGCAACTTGAAAGATTGGGTAGGAAACTTATGAAGCAGTGAGTTTAGGTTTATTGGAAGAGGAATAATTTGGAAAAGCAGGCTGAGAATGGCTGTACAACTTGAAGAATGTAATCAGTGCCATTGCATTGTCCCATGTCAAAGCTGTTGATTTGGTGTATTTCTGTTGTGTATATTCTCAACGACAGCAACAAAAATCAATAAATTGTTTTTTAAGTTTGAACTGTTTTTATGCTTTTGTATAAAATCAATACTAAACAAAAATGCCCAACATGATGCAATCAGATCGATTTCAACTTACCACGACCCTGTGTGTTAAAGAGCAAAACTGTTCCACACAGTTTTCTTGTTTATAATCTTCATGGAAGCAAGTTGCTAGGCCTTTCTTCAGCAGTATCACTGTGGAGGTTCATGCCACTAGCTTTTTGGTTAGTAGTCAAGTACAAACCCTTTGTGCTTCCCAGGGACCTAAAATCAATTTTGGTTAAGTGCTATCAAGTTGGTTCCAACTCATAGTTATTCCGTGTAGGGTTTCCAAGAAGCGTACTGGTAGTTGTGGTACTCTGGTAGCGTGGTGGTGATGACTGTGTGCCGTGGAGTCACTTCCTACTCACAGTGACCCTGTACAGGGTTTCCGAGGCTGTAAATCTTTACGGGAGCAGAATGCCTCGTCTTTCTCCCACGGAACAGCTGGTAGTTTCTAACTGCTGACCTTGCGGTTCACAGCCCAGTTCATAACCACTATGGTTTTTATGCTCTGGTAGCATAGTGTTACAAATCGGGCTGTTAATCTCAAGGACAGCAGTTCGAAACTACCAGCTGTTCTGCGGGAGAAAGATGAGGCATTCTGCTCCCGTAAAGATTTACAGCCTCGTAAACCCTGTAACAGGATTGCTATGAGTTGGAACAGACTCCATGGCGCACCACCACCACTGGTAGTTAGCAGGCCAGTGCTTATTCTACAGTGCCACACCAGTACTTCAAAATCAGTAATTGCTACCAATTATTGAGACACCTACTATGATATGAATTGGGCTGCTAATCTCATAGTCTGTAGTTTGAAACTACCAGCTGTTCTGCTGGGGAAAGATGAGGCTTTTTGCTCCTGCAAAGATTTACAGCCTTGGAAACTCTGTACAGGGTTGCTATGAGTCAGAACTGACTCCACAGCACATAACAACAACTGTGATTCAGGAATCTTGGTGTGGTGCTGTGGCTAATGTGCTGGACTGCAAAGTCAGTTTGAACCATAAAGGTTGGTGGTTCAAGCTCACCAGCTGCTCCTTGGAAACCCTGTATAGGGTCACTGTGAGTCAGAACCAACTCGATGGCACTTAACACTATGATTCAAGCATTGCACTCAAGAGATACACATAAATGATTTTATCTTCAGAACATCCTTATACTACTGTCTGCATTTTACAGATGAGGCAAGGGAATGTGTGGCTAATTGGGTTTATATACTTCCGAATAGAAGAATGATATAAACAATCCTGAAGGAAAGAAACATCAATGAATAAGGTGGTTGGTAAGTGCCAGCACATAGCAACCCTGTATAGGGTTTCTGAAGAGTGGCTGGTGAGTTTGAACTGCTGACCTTGCAGTTCAAACCAACCTTGCAATCCAGCACATTAACCTGCAGAGCCACACCAGAGGTTAAATGACAGTTAATAAATGATGGACTGTAGAATAAGCACTAGACTGCTAACCTTAAGGTAGTTCAAACCCTGCCTCTCTTTGGAAACTACGCAGGTTTGCAATGCGTTGGAACCCACTTGATGACACACAATCACCACCACATTATATTGTGTTACGGTTTCTTCAAAGCTTACATCCATGAAGCCTTCCCAAATTCCCACCACCTTATTTATTCATTTATTTATATTATAAACTGAGTGATAGTCTACATGGGCTTTACACCATCGTTTGATTACAATGATTACAATGTCTTCCATGAATCATCATTCAACAGTATTTGTTTCCATTCCCTCTGTTTTGTTTTTTTTTTGGGGGGTGGGTGGGAGGTGGGGAGATGTACATAAACACACTCAAGAATACATATAATAATTTAAACAACTAAAGGGCACATTCTGCAAGCCTGCCTCATGGCTGCCATCACTCAGTCCCTCTCTTTCCATGAGTCTAGAGTCCTCAGCTGCTGCCTCTCTCCATGTCCTCATCTCTGCCACCACCTATGTTACCACCACCTTTTTCTAGTTAAGATGCCCTTGTGGTGCAGTAGTTAAAGAGCTCAGCTCCTAACTGAAAGGTTGGAGGTTTGAACCCACCAGCTGCTCTGCAAGAGAAAAATATGGCAGTCTGCTTAAGTAAAGAACCTTGGAAACTCTGTGAGGCAAAATTGACTTGGGTGGGTTGTTTGGGGTTTTTTTGTGTCTTTTTTTCTAATTAATCATTTCATAAACTTTTCAATATCATGTTAATATTTCTGCACGGTACAGTAAGTCTATATGCTTGCTTGCATTGTCTTCTTGATTGTATTTTTCTTTTTTAATTTTGGTTATGATCATATCTTTTATAACCAACTCTCCACAGTAACTAGGTTAATACATTGCATTCAGTGGTATTTTATACCTAATCAATTATGTGATGACATATAACACAGTCTTAATTCTAAATTTCTGTCATAGGTTCCTCAAGCTGCACACCTTAAAGGTAAAGCAAAACAGAAAATTCTCAGACAGCCACTTCCAGATGATTCTGAAGAAGTTACTACTGAGGACCATAACTATAGCTTAAGGAGACCATTGACAGTAGGTGCAGAGAAACTGGCTGAAGTACAACAAATGTTACAAGTGTCCAAAAAGAGACTTATTTCTGTCAAAAACTATAGGATGATAAAGAAGAGAAAGGGCTTGCAGTTAATTGATGCACTTGTAGAAGAGAAACTGCTTTCTGAAGAAACAGAGTGTCTGCTGCGAGCACAGTTTTCAGGTATTTTCACCAATAATTTGCACTATTTACAAATTAGCTCTTTATTTCTTTATAATCCTGTTGAATATATTTACTGTTGTCTATGAAAATATGCTTTTAACTGAAAGTAAAGTGTCAGCTGTAGAAGTATATATAGAGAAGAATGCAAAGTAATAGCTCAAATTCTTTTATATTTTAGTTTTCCGATTGTAAAAGTAATGTTTAGTATAGAAAACAAAAAAAAGGATGAAAATAACCCTTAATTCTACTACCCGAAGATGAGATCCTATGGCGTACCCAGTATTTTCAGTTTTTTTAAATAACATCTTGGCTACATATGATAAGCACTGGACTACAAACCAGAGAGTTAGTGGTTCGAGCCTACCAGCAGCTCCACAGAAGAAAGATAAGACTTTCTGCTTCTGCGTAGATTTTTTTTCCTTCCCGCAAAGACTTAAAATCCTCTGAAACTCAATACAGGGTCACTCTGCTCTGGAACCAACTCAATGATACTGAACACACACCCATACTACTACAAATTCTTTATAAACAGTTATAATTGCTATGTAATTTCTTAGTGTTTTTGCAATGGAGCTTAACTAGTTTGTTAAATTTCTCTGAACTTCAAACTTTCTTGAGTCTGAATTAAAAAAAAATTTTATAGAGTAAATATAAAAATCTATTAAAAGAATAGAATACTCTTTGTGAACCAGGACATTTGAAGAAAGGCAAAGTAAGAATTGATAACTTATTTGTTTGATGAAAAGGAGTAGGTCTTTTGGACTTAGATTTTTTTTAAAGTTACATCATGTTACTCGACAGGAATAGATATCTCCAAAAGGGAGAATATTATCTTTCAAAGAGGGGAAGAGGTAATAAATAGAGTCTCACTAGAAACAAAAGTATTTTTCCCTCTCATAAGGTAAGCTGTGTAGTTTGAATAGTACCTTTTCTTCCAAAATGTTTCTTGTATCTAATTTGCATCCTCAGATAAATCATGGTGATGGTGGTGGTTATGTGCCAAAGAGTTGGTTATTTCTAGTGACCCTGTATAGTTTCCAAGACTATTAATCTGTACAGGAGCAGAAAGCTTCATCTTTCTTCCGAGGAGTAGCTGGTAGATTCAAACTGCTGATTTTGTAGTTAGCAGCCCAACTCATAAACCATTACATTACTACAGTTCCGTCAGATAAATGGTACCAGTGAAAATAATATGATCAATGCCCTTATTGTTTTATAGAGTTATTTCATATTATTCCCTGTTTCTAAAAAGATTTCTACTGTCTGTCAGTGAATAGTGAAATGTAATCATTCAACCTTTTCTCTTTCCTATCTGTAGTGAAAACATCAAGGGGAACAGGGTAAATTAATCAAAAGACCCTCAAATTGTATACTAATTTCTGAACAAACTCAGTTACAGTATGAATTTTATTTACACTTGAATTTTGATACCCAGTCTATTTTACAAGTTATGACCTACATGCCTGAAAATAGCACTTCTATTACTATATGTTGTTTTTAGTCACAAAGAATAAATAAAATTCATGTCAACAGATTTCAAGTGGGAGTTGTATAACTGGAAAGAAACAGCCGAGTACTCCTCAGAAATGAAACAGTTTGCATGCACCCTCTATTTGTGCAGTAGCAAAGTCTATGATTATGTCAGAAAGATTCTTAAGCTACCTCATTCTTCCATCCTCAGAACGTAAGTGGATTTTTTTAAATTGAATTTTATGTATGTGGCTATTACTATTCAGGCTATCATTTATTAGTCTATTTTCTCCTAAAAATTCTAGGAGGTATGCGCGTATATCATTACAATAGTTATATTTTCACCAATAAAAATGAAGATGTGCAGTTTGCAAATTTTTTGAAATTTTCCAGATGTTAGAAGCATCCCAGATGTAGATAAATTTGAAACATAAAATATTGTAATTTCTAGTATACTTCAATGATTTTAATATCTGACTGTCCTTGAAAATCTAGAACAATTTTGGGTTGATAGTATTGGTCTGAAGTCCTGGTGTGGTGCCGTGGGCTAATACGTCAGAATACAAAGTCATTTGAACTGCAAGGTCAGTGGTTCAAGCTCACCAGCTTCTTGTTGGAAACCCTATATAGGGTCACTATGGATTGGAATCAACTCGATGACACTTAACAACAACAACAGTATTGGTCTGAGATAAAGCACGGAAATCTTCATTTTTAATAAGTCCTATCTGTAGTTGATGCAGTTGATGTGTGAAGTCATTAGGTGAAGTAAACAGTTTGCTAATATAAAGGTTGGCAGTCCAAACCCTCCCAGTTGTACTACAGAAGAAAAGGCTTAGTGATCTGATTCCGTTAAGATTACAGCCAAGAAAACCCTATGGAGCAGCTATACTCTGTAATACATGGGAACACTATGAGTCGGAATCAACTTTACAGAGTCTAAAAACAAAGAGTTGATACAAATACAGGTTATCCAGGAATCAAATTAGGGTAAATGAATTTTTAGGATTTGTGGTCAGAATACCAAGGTATGATTATAATTCTCTTAGTCTCAAGTAAATAACACTTTCAGTGACTTTACAGCTCTGGTAGCATGTTGTTGTTAGGTGTTATCGAGTCAGTACCGACTCAGAGCAACCATGTGCACAGGAGAACGAAACACTCTCTGGTCCTAAGCCAACCTCACAATTGTTGCCACGCTTGAGCCTATTGATGTTGCCACTTTGCCAATCCATCTTGCTGGGGATCTTCCTGTTTTTCTCTGATCCTCCACCTTACCAAACATGATATCCTTCTCCAGCAACTGGTCCCTCCTGACAACATGTCCAAAGTATGAGAGACGAAGTTTGGCCATCCTGGCCTCCAAGGAGCACTCTGGCTGCACTTCTTCTAACACAGATCTGTTGGGTCTTCTGGCAGCCCATAGCACTTTCAATATTCTCCAACACCATAACTCAAAAGCATCACTTCCTCTATGGTCTTCCTTATTCACTGTCCAGCTTTTCCATGCATATGAGGTTATTGAAAAATACCATGGCTTGGGTCAGGTGCACCTTAGTCTAGTCCTCAAACTGACATCTTTGCTCTTCAACACTTTAAAAAGGTCTTCTGCAGCAAATTTGCCCAATGCAATACGTCATTTGATTTCTTGTCTGCTGCTTCCATGAGTGTTGATAGTTGATCCAAGAAGAATGAAGTCCTTGACAGCTTCATCTTTTTTCCGTTGATAAGAATGTTGTTTATTGGTCCAGTGGTGTGGATTTTTGTTTTCTTGACATTGAGATGCAATCCATACCGAAGGCTGTGCTCTCTGATCTTCATCAGTAAATATTTTAAGTCTTCTTCACTTTCAGCAAGCCAGGTTCTATCATCTGCATATTGCAGGTTGTTAATGAGTCTTCCTCCAGTCCTGATACCATGTTTTTCTTCATATAACCCAGCTTCTCGGATAATTTGCTCAGCATACAGATTGAATAAATATGGTGAAAGAACACAACCTTGTCGCACACCTTTCTTAATTCGAAACCATTCAGTGTTACCATGATCTGTTCGAACAACTGCCTCTTGATCCGGGTACAGATTCCTCATGAGCACAATTAAGTGTTCCGGAATACTCATACTTTGCAATGTTATCCATAGCTTGTCATGATCCACACAATCGAAAGCCTTTGCGTAGTCAATAAAGCACAGGTAAACATCTTTCTGATATTCTCTGCTTTCAGCCAAGATCCATTACACATCAGCAATGATAGCCCTCATTCCACGGCCTCTTCTGAATCCAGCTTGAACCTCTGGAAGTTCTCTGTCAATGTATGCTTGTAGCTGTTTCTGTATTACCTTTAGCAAAACTTTACTCACTTGGATTGTCCAATGATTTCTGCATTCCGTTAGGCCACCTCTCTTTGGAATGGGCACAAATATGGATCTCTTCCAGTCAGTCATCCAGATAGTTGTCTTCCAGTGTCTCCTGTGCTGCCTTACTTTCTTGAATGATTTCAGTTTTTATTCCATCAATTCCTTGGTGCCTTGTTCTTTGCCAGTTCCTTCAATGCACCTTGGACTTCCTCCTTCAGTATCATTGGCTCTTGATCATGTGCTACCTCTTGAAGTGGTTGAACATTACCCATTTCCTTTTTGGTACAGTTACTGTGTATTCCTCCCATCTTCTCTTGATGCTTTCTGCATCATTCAGTAATTAGCCCAGAGAATTTTCAATAATGAAAGTCTAGGCTTGAATTTTTTCTTCAGTTCCTCCATCTTGAGAAATGCTTCCTTTTTGGTTTTCTGACTCCAGATCTTTGCACATTTTGTTGTAATGTTTGGCTTTATCTTCTTGAGATGATATTTGAAATTTTTTGTTCATCTCTTGTACCTCTTCATTTCTTCCATTTGCTTTAGCGTCTCTACGCTGGAGAGCAAGTTTCAGTGTCTCTTCTGACATCCATTTTGACCTTTTCCTACTTTCTCATCATTTTAATGACTTTATGCTTTCTACATGTTGTTTTTGACGGCATCCCACAATTGTTCTGGTCTTTGTTCTTCAGTGTTTAAAGTATCAAATCTTTTCTTCAGATGATCTCTAAATTCAAGTGGGATATATTCAAGGTCATATTTTGGCTCTCGTAGACTTGTTTTCATTTTCTTCAGCTTCATTTTGAGTTTGCATATGAGCAATTGATGGTCTGTTCCACAGTCTGCACCTGGTCTTGTTTTGACTGATGATATGGAGCTTTTCCATTGTCTCTTTCTGCAGATGTAGTCAATTTGATTTCTGTGTATTCTAGCTGGTGAGGTCCATGTGTATAGTCATTTCTTATGCTGTCTAAAGAAGGTATTTGAAATGAAAAAATCGTTGATTTTGCAGAATTCTATCATGCGATCTCCAGCATCATTTCTGTCACCAAGGCCATATTTTCCAACCACTGATACTTCCTCTTTGCTCCCAACCTTTGCATTCCAATCACCAGTAATGAGCAAT